AAGTACAACTCTCAAATGATAAAACCAGTCCCTTCCCCAACCTCACTAGTATCCAAATTTGGGCATAGTGGGTATTTGTGCCAAATTTGGTCCAGTGAATGAAAATACATCCTGCATATCGGATATTTACATTACGATTCATAACAGTAGCAAAATTACATTTATGAAGTAACAATGAAAATTTTATGGTTGGGGGTCACCACAACATGAGGAACTATATTAAGGGGTCGCAGCATTAGGAAGGTTGAGAACCACTACATCTAAATCAGGGGTCCTCAAACTTTTTAAACAGAGGGCCGGGTCACAGTCCTTCAAACTGTTGGAGGGCCGGATTATAATTTGAAAAAAACATGAATGAATTCCTATGCACACTGCACATATCTTATTTGTAGTGCAAAAAACACTTAAAAACAATACAATAATTAAAAGAAGAACAATTTTAACAAATATAAACTTATTAGTATTTCAATGGGAAGTGTGGGCCTGCTTTTGGCTGATGAGATAGGATTGTTGTTGTTGTGTGCTTTCAAGTCATTTCAGACTTAGGTTGACCCTGAGCGAGGGCCGGGTAAATGACCTTGGAGGGCCGCATCCGGCTCCCGGGCCATAGTTTGAAGACCCCTGCTTTAGGGCCTTTGCAAACTGCAGCAGCCCTGGAAAGAGTGCAAAGGAAGAACCTTAAGCAGCTGAGAGGTAAGGCAAACAGGATCCTGGGGGACGGAACATGCACTGTTTGTTTTTTGTATGCAACATTGCAAGTTTGTATTTCATCTCTGCTATCAAGAGTAAAGATTTTTTTTCCTGTTCATTTCTACTCTTGTCTGTGAGTCTTGTGCATGGGACGTGGCTAAGATCCGCTTGTGTTGCAATCCAGAGCAGGGAACGAGGCCCTAAGATAACTATCCACCACACTTGATTGTGAAAAACAATCCGTTTTTATTGAAGAAAAATGGTTACAAAATAAAGGAAAAATGCAAGTCAAAAGCCACAGCAAAATCAGCAAACATGAATTTAAATGGACAAAGCAAAACCAAAAGCCTCATGTAAATATGTGAGAGGAAGCCACAGGGAGGAGGGAGCAAGCTTGTTTTCTGCTTCCTTGGAGACTAGGACGCGGAACAATGGCTTCAAAGTACAAGAGAGGAGATTCCATCTGAACATGAGGAAGAACTTCCTGACTGTGAGAGCCGTTCAGCAGTGGAACTCTCTGCCCCGGAGTGTGGTGGAGGCTCCTTCTTTGGAAGCTTTTAAGCAGAGGCTGGATGGCCATCTGTCAGGGGTGATTTGAATGCAATATTCCTGCTTCTTGGCAGAAGGGGTTGGACTGGATGGCCCATGAGGTCTCTTCCAACTCTTTGATTCTATGAAATACTGGAACCTGTTAGCAATCCACTAACCATACTTGATATCCTAGAAATCTTCCCAAACTATGGCCAGGGAACCAGGAGAACTGCCAAGGTCTTCATCAATTCTGAAACGATGCCTGAACTGAGACAGTCAGCCCGGCGTAAGGCAATTAAAACTCAAGAATTGGTTCCGTGAACCGCCCTTCTGTTTTGAAGCCAATGTTTTTAATTCTTGAATTCGGGAGGATCGACGCAAACTGAGTGATTTACTTCTGTCTTGCCAAATTTGGCCCCTTCTGTTGTCATTACAGTTACCAGGTGCAGAAGGGAGGGAAAGGTCATGGCTTCCCTCTGAAACATTCTCATGAACACTGGTACTTTCATTTTCCAAACCTACAGAAGTTTCTTCCTCACTAATTTCAGGAGCATTGGCATCAAGAGGTACATTTCCACTAGCATCAGTAAATATATTTTCATTAGCATCAGGAGGAACAAACAGAGAATCAGGTTCAAGTTCAAACTCAGGCTGAACCCCAACAATTGTTATGATTGTTTTAACTGTATATTTTCCCTATCAATTTCCATATTAATGCTCCATGTTTAGAATACTTCCTCTATTATTTCTTCTTTTACTGTTATAATGTGTTCGTACAAGTCTCCTGCCATTTTTTCTCCCCTCTCAAACATTTCCTCATCACCTTCTCAAATGGGCCATCTCTCCCCGTCTATAAATATTTTGTCTTACAGTCCAACTTTGGATCCAATTTCCTGCTCCTACCCAATTCTGAATTTCTTTTTGCTCTAAAGCAGTGGTTCTCAACCTGGGGTCCCCAGATGTTTTTGGCCTACAATTCCCAGAAATCCTATCAGCTGGTAAACTGGCTGGGATTTCTAGGCCAAAAACATCTGGGGACCCCAGGTTGAGAACCACTGCTCTAAAGGATTCCCATCTTCTGTGTACAACTCATCAACTGATCTTTTCCCTCTTCTTTCAATGCTTTACCTACATTTACATCTTTGTTGTGATTAATTTTCCATATTGTTACCAGATTGTTCTCTTTCTTCCACACTCTTATTGTTCCTTTAAACAGTTTCTTACATTCTGTTTCTTCTCTCTCCTATTCCATTCTTTGAATATTATTTCTTTTTCTTTAATATCTATTTTTTTCCGATATTTACCCATTTTTCTTAGTATACTGTATTTCTAACAGTCTTTGAATGTGAAAGGCCTGGTGGTGTGTTTCTAAGCTTGGTTTTTCCCAGCCTCCTTCTTCATTTTTGGCGTTTGGCCATTTATCTCTTGTTCTGGGTCTTTTCCCTCCAACTGCCCATTTTTGTATTCTTCCATCCCATATCTTTAGCATCCCCTTTTCTACTGTATTTGGTAATGTTTGGAACAAATATAACAGTTTTTGGTATTATAAACATTTTTAAGGCCCTGATTTTATCCACTCGTTAATGTTTTTCCTTTCCATTTCTTGAATTATTTTCCATATTATCTTATAATTCCCCTTAACTATACTCTTCGGGTTTTTGCATATCCATATTCCTAAGTATCTTAACTTCTTTAATCCTCATCTCAATCCTGAGATTTTCCTAATCTCCAATTGTTCCCTTGGTGGGATATTTAGACATAGTATCTCTGATACTAGAGACAAAGCTGAAGTCCTTTGGCCACATCATGAGGAGACAGCAAAGCCTAGAGAAGACAATTATGCTGGGGAAAATGGAAGGCAAAAGGAAGAGGGGCCGAGCAAGGACAAGATGGATGGATGGCATCCTTGAAGTGACTGGACTGACCTTGAAGGAGCTGGGGGTGGTGACGGCCGACAGGGAGCTCTGGCGTGGACTGGTCCATGAGGTCACGAAGAGTCGGAGACGACTGAACGAATGAACAACAACAACATCTCTGATTTAATAATGTTTATATATAATCCTGATAAATTATTGAATTCCTCCAATTTTAAATCAAATATTTCACCATAAATCAGCAGTTCTCAACCTGAGGGTTGTTTGGCCATTACGGAGGGGTCGCGAGGCTGCCTCCAAGAAGGCCCTGTCTCTCGTCCCTACCAGTTGCGCCTGCCACGATGGCGAGACAGAGAGCAGGGCCTCCCCGGAGGATCTTAATCTCCGCGATGGTTCATAGGGTGAGATGCATTTGGACAAGTAAATTGGGCCGGGGCCATTTAGGGCTTTATACGCCAAAGCCAGCACTTTATATTGTGCCTGGCAGCAAACTGGCAGCCAGTGGAGCTGGCGTAACACGGGAGTTGTATGCTCCCTGTATGCCGCCCCAGTTATTGACCTGGCTGCCTCTCGTTGGACTATTTGAAGCTTCCGAGTAGTCTTCAAAGGCAACCATACGTAGAGAGCGTTGTAGTAGTCTATCCTGGATGTAACGAGAACGTGGACCACCGTGGCCAAGTCATATTGTATTCCTTATGTTTAACCTTCTGTTGTTTCTCTGCCTTGTGCACATTTATCCACCATTCTAAATACCTGTTTTATATACCTTTTAAATTGTTGTTTGGGGCGTATATACAGACCAGAGTAATTCTACTTTTTCCTATTTTTCCTTATATCATTACCCACCTCCCCTCTGAATCCTTTTTTTACATTTTCCACCTGGAAATCTTTTGTATTTTTAATTAAAATCGCCACACCATGTGCTCTATTTGAACCTCGATTCATAAACCTGACTTCAAATCCTATCATTAAATAATAGAGTCCTGTTCCCCATTCTCTTGTGAGATTCTTGTAAAAATAAAATGTCTACCTATTATTATTATTATTATTATTATTATTATTAAACTCGCTAGAAACAACATCATACGAAAGCCGAGTGGCACAACCTGGGGATCACAACCAGACACAGTGAAGACATCTGCCCTTGCGCTATGCTACTCTGCTGCTGAGTATGCATGCCCAGTGTGGAACACATCTCACCACGCTAAAACAGTGGATGTGGCTCTTAATGAGACATGCCGCATTATCACGGGGTGTCTGCGCCCCACACCACTGGAGAAATTACACTGCTTACCGGTATTGCACCACCTGACATCCGCCGGGAAGTAGCAGCCAATAGTGAAAGGACCAAGGCAGAAACATCTCCAGCTCATCCCGTTTGGGTATCAGCCAGCACGTCAACGACTTAAATCAAGACATAGTTTTCTTAGATCTACAGAGACACTCGCTGGAACACCCCAGCAAGCGAGAGTCCAAAAGTGGCAGGCCCAAACCCAGCACCTCAATCCATGGGTGATACCAGATGAGAGACTCCCCTCTGGGCACACAGAAGACTGGGCGACTTGGAAGGCGCTGAACAGACTGCGCTCTGGCACCACGAGATGCAGAGCCAATCTTAAGAAATGGGGCTACAGGGTGGAATCCTCGGCATGCGAGTGCGGAGAAGAACAAACCACTGACCACCTGCTGCAATGCACCCTGAGCCCTGCCACATGCACAATGGAGGACCTTCTTGCGGCAACACCAGAGGCACTCCAAGTGGCCAGATACTGGTCAAAGGACATTTAACCAACTACCAAGTTTGCAAAATCTGTGTGTGTTTTTTTTCTTTTTAATCTGTGTGTTTGTTTTGTTCTGTTAGAATTGTAACACAATGGTATGGTTGCTGATGACACGATAAATAAATAAATAAATAAACAAACTTTATTTGTACCCCGCTAGCATCTCCTGAACGACTCGATGCGGCTTACAAAGGCCAAGGCCTCGACACACAGTATAGCAATACAATATAGCAATACAATATAACAATACAACAATACAAAACCTAAGCAAATTATCACAATTAAGCAAAATAAACACAGGCAATAAACAATACACTAAAACACAATCTTTAACCATTTTCATAACTTTTGATCTTTGTTGTGGAGTAAATAAACCATTGCAATGATGCTACATCGTTACTACTTCACACATATATTATTTGCATTTACCCTCCTGCACTTTCATTTTGCTGTCTGCTTGTCTTCCCATTCTTCCCCTCCGAGTCCAGACCTCTCCCTCCTTCCCTCAGAGGGAGACCTGAAAGAGTTTTCCCTTTGTTCTCTTTCATCCCCAGACTCTCCCTTGGTGACTGTGTTGCCCTTCCCCGGTTCTCCTCTCTTGCAACTTCTTCCACCCATTTACCCTCATTTGTCCAAGTTTCATTATTCCACAGTTCTTAGGCTGTTCATTCCTATGTCTCTGTACTGGATCTTGTTTCAATTCTTCTATTCTCCTCTCTTATTTTCTGTCTTTTAAGATCTTGTGATTGCTTCCCAATATTTTTAATTTTTTCCAAGTCAAAATCTATGTCCTTCAAGTTCCTTGAGATTCGTTTTTCTTCCATATCTTTTGGATTTCCCATAGCAAATAATCTCTGAGGTAAGCCTGTCCCTGCAGCTTCCAGGTCTTTCAGTGCATTTTGTCCAGCTGGCTTGTCCTTGGTCTTATCTGGATCTTCACGAGCGGTCTTCCACGTCACCAACTTTTTGAAGGAGATTTCGATTTAAGTTTTTCAAAGCCATCAATTCATCTTCTCAGCTTGGCTTCTGTCTCTTTGAAATTTTCTTGGCACTCTTCTACCTTAGTTACTATTAATAAAATGTAATACAATTGTCTGGTTGCTACTGACACGATAAAATAAATAAATAAATAAATACTATTAGCCCAAGACAATTATAAATTTGTGTAATTTGTTCTCTTCTCTGCTCATTTCCCAGTCTTAAACTCTCCATGTTTAATTTAAGATATTCCAATGCGGTTATAATCTTGTTCAATTTTTTTACTCCTCCTCACTCTTCCCCTTTCTATCAGCCATACTTACTATCACCCGGTCTTCTGTTTGTATTCAGAGATTTATGGCTTTGGTAACCTTCAGTCATGACTGCTCAGCCTCCTCTCTTTTCTCTTTTGATCTGGAACCCAGTTAGGGAGAGATTTATGACACTTTATGGGCTTTTTGAGGTTTTAATTGTGCTTATAGTTAGGAGAGAAATTAGGCATGTCTACTCTTGTTGACGCATGCACAGTCTCCACTGTTAATGAAGTTGTGTCCACACTCTAAGTATTTGGGTTTCTCCCTAGTGTGAGTCCTTTGATGCACACATAGCTTTCCACTCTGAGTGAAGCTGTGTCCACACTCCAGGCATTTATAGGGTTTCTCCCCAGTGTGAATCCTTTGATGGACACGTAGACTTCCATTCCGAGTGAAGCTCTGTCCACACTCCAAGCATTTAAACGGTTTCTCCCCAGTGTGAGTCCTTTGATGTGTACGTAGATGTGAACTACTAATGAAGCTCTGTTCACACTCCAAGCATTTAAACGGTTTCTCCCCAGTGTGAATCCTTTGATGTACACGTAGACTTCCATTTTCAGTGAAGCTCTGTCCACACCCCAAGCATTTAAACGGTTTCTCCCCAGTGTGAGTCCTTTGATGTCTATGTAGATTTGAACAAGTCAATATTTTTCCACACTCCAGGCATGTATAGGGTTTCTCCCCAGTGTGACTCCTTTGATGTGAATGTAGATATGTTCTCTGAGTGAAGCTCTGTCCACACTACAGGCATTTATAGGGTTTCTCCCCAGTGTGAATCTTTTGATGTCTATGTAGATTTGAAATATGAGTGAAGCTCAATCCACACTCCAGACATTTATAGGGTTTCTCCCCAGTGTGAATCCTTTGATGTGAACGTAGACCTGAACTCTGAGTGAAGCTCTGACCACACTCCAGGCATTTGTAGCGTTTCTCCCCAGTGTGAATCCTTTGATGGATACGTAGACTTCCATTCCGAGTGAAGCTCTGTCCGCACTCAAAGCATTTAAACCGTTTCTCCCCAGTGTGAATCTTTTGATGTGAACGTAGACCTGAACTCTGAGTGAAGCTCTGTCCACACTCCAGGCATTTGTAGGGTTTCTCCCCAGTGTGAGTCCTTTGATGCACACGCAGACTTCCATTTTCAGTGAAGCTCTGTCTACACTCCAAGCATTTAAATGGTTTCTCCCCAGTGTGAATCCTTTGATGGACACGTAGATTTTCATTCCGAGTGAAGCTCTGTCCACACTCCAGGCATGTATAGGGTTTCTCCCCAGTGTGACTCCTTTGATGTGAACGTAGATATGTACTCCGAGTGAAGCTCTGTCCACACTCCAGGCATTTGTAGGGTTTCTCCCCAGTGTGAATCCTTTGATGCACACGTAGACTTCCATTTGCAGTGAAGCTCTGTCCACACTCCAAGCATTTAAACGGTTTCTCCCCAGTGTGAGTCCTTTGATGGACACGTAGATCTGTACTCTGAGTGAAGCTCTGTCCACACTCCAGGCATTTATAGGGTTTCTCCCCAGTGTGAATCTTTTGATGTCTATGTAGATTTGAAATATGAGTGAAGCTGAATCCACACTCCAGACATTTATAGGGTTTCTCCCCAGTGTGAATCCTTTGATGGGAACGTAGACCTGAACTCTGAGTGAAGCTCTGTCCACACTCCAGGCATTTGTAGGGTTTCTCCCCAGTGTGAATCCTTTGATGCACACGTAGACTTCCATTTTCAGTGAAGCTCTGTCCACACTCCAAGCATTTAAACGGTTTCTCCCCAGTGTGAATCCTTTGATGGACACGTAGATCTGTACTCTGAGTGAAGCTCTGTCCACACTCCAGGCATTTATAGGGTTTCTCCCCAGTGTGAATCTTTTGATGTCTATGTAGATTTGAAATATGAGTGAAGCTGAATCCACACTCCAGACATTTATAGGGTTTCTCCCCAGTGTGAGTTCCTTGATGTCTATGTAGACTTGCATTATAAGTGAAGCTCTTTCCATACTCCAGGAATTTATAGGGTTCCTCCCCAGTGTGAGTGCTTTGATGTGAAGGTAGCACTGAATTTTGAGTGTAGCTCTGTATACACTCCAGGCACTTATAGGGTTTCTCCCCAGTGCAAGTCCTTCCTTGTTGCTGAAGATGAACCTTCTGAGTAAAACTCTTTCCGCACTCCAGGCATTTAAATGCTTTCTCTTCCATGTCAACAGTGATATGGTTGTTGAATGGCAATATGGATACTTGGCACTATTTCCCTTTCTTATCTTAATTGAACTCAAGAATTCAGCAAGAGCATCACCTTGGGAATATTTCTTCTTCTTCCAATATTATTGGTCTCCTAACTGTACCCAAGAGATGGCTCCATAGAATCCTCATTTCCCTGGTGAAGAAAGAAGCAAAAGATCAGTGAGGACAGGCAGAAACCTTCTTTACCTGCAAGACTTTCCCCCTTTCCCTTCATGGGTCATGTTGAAAATGGGAATACCAAGAAATGAAGACATCAGGGTCTCAAGCACGTACACAAATGCTAGCAAAGCAATCACTGATTCTTAAACAAGAAGGGAGTGAATCCAGAAAGAAAAAAAGGGTTGGAGAACAAAAAGAATGAATGATAGAAGGAAGAAAGGGGAACCCCTTCTAATATTTATCTCCTAGGCTTGAGCAATCAAGAAAAAAATTGGTTCTAAACTCGTTTCGTTTCTAGGGTGCGCTAGCGTTTCGAAATTCTGAGGACTTCCGAAATTTAAGATTTCAAAATTTCAAAATTTCTGAAATTTCGTAAATTACGAATCGATCGTTAATGGCGGACGCGATTGCGCAATATGCTAAAAAAAACCTCCAAATGGGACAGGGGGAACTTCTGAAGCTTCCCTCTCCCTCTGTTGTTGACTGTTGGTGTGATAAAACAAACAACAACTATATTATATTATATTATATTATTATATTATATTGATGTATATTATATTATAATATTATTATACATTATATTATTATATATTATATTATAATAATATTATTATATTATATATTATTATTATTATATAATATATATATAATATAATAATTTATTATATTATATTATATATATTATATTATAGTATTATTATATATTATATTATATTATAATATTATATATATATTGTATTATATTATAATATACAATTATAATATAACAACAGAGCAAAGGGACCGGAAGTGGGGTAAATGCGAGATTGTAAAACTTGCACCAGACATAGGAAAATAATTACGAAATAATTACGAAATAATTACGAAAATTGAAAAAATTGTTTCGATTCTTAATTACTCCTCACACTATTCCTGCATGGTTCGATATTGGATCGTAAGCTAATTTAAATACGAATCAATAACGAATAACGAAATTAACAACTGGATCGCCCAAGCCTATTATCTCCCTTCGGGGAGATAAAGCGGCATACAAATACTAATACTAATACTACTAATAATATATTTATAACCCATCCTCTCTCCTAGAGGAGACTCAGGGCAGTTTCCAGGGAATAATAAAAATTGGAAACATTCAAATGCCAAGAGGGAAGGGGGAATGGACAAGGGGCATAAGGGTAACGGGACTAAGGGGAAGTGGGATGAGAAGCACTGCATGGAGTTCACAAGTTAACAACATATGGTATAAAAATGATGGATAAAATAAAAGTGGGAACGCTTAATACAAGACGTCTTGGGAGTTGGTATAAAAGAATAGAATTTATTTATTTATTTATTTATTTAATACACTTGTATACCGCTAATATCTCAGCCTGGATCGGCGACTCATTGCGGTTTACAGCAATTAAAAACAATCTCCAATTTAAAAACATATACACATACAGTACAGATTATTGGGCCACCAATAATAATCCCATATATCTCGAATTAAAATCATAATCCAGAATTCGTTGTCCATATTTCCTGTCCTTAGTCATCAAAATTCGATTGCCACAGATTAGCCGAATGCTTGTTTAAACAACCATGTTTTCAATCTCTTCCTAAACACCATCAGCGAAGAGGCTGATCGTACCTCTATAGGGAGGGTGTTCCAAAGCCGGGGGGCCACCACAGAGAAGGCCCTGTCTCTCGTTCCCGCCAGCCGCACTTCTGAAGCTGGAGGGATAGAGAGAAGGGACTCTCCAGAAGATCTTAGGGTCCTGGTGGGCTGATAGGCTGAGATACGTTCGGATAGATAAGTTGGGCCAGAACCGTTTAGGGCTTTAAAGGCCAACGCCAGCACTTTGAATTGAGCCCGGTAGCATATCGGCAGCCAGTGGAGCTGGTGCAGCAGAGGAGTTGTATGCTCCCTGCGCCCCGCTCCTGTTAGAATCATGGCTGCCGCCCGTTGGACTAACTGGAGCTTCCGGACTGTCTTCAAAGGCAACCCCACGTAGAGAGCGTTGCAGTAATCAAGGCGGGATGTAACCAGAGCGTGGACTACCGTGGCTAAGTCAGACTTCCCAAGGTACGGTCAAGTGCATAAAACATACAAAAGAATAGACTACAAAAAAAACATTGTTAGATAATAATAATAATAATAATAATAATAATAATAATAAAATAACTTTATTTTTATATCCCGCCAGCCATCTCCCCTAGGAGACGCCCAAAATTACAATTAAAACACATATGTAAAACACTTAACCAATTAAAACATCAGATAAAAACAAATAAAGGCACAATTGAAAGCAATATAAAAACAATACGGCTGAAAGAAACATAGCTGAGGTATAGATTCAACGAATGCAATACATTTTATAGGAGCGCAGGAAAGTGTAACTGATGGGAGCCATGAACCAAAGTGACTCCATTTTGAATACTGTCTATCTTAATATGTATCAGAAAGAGCATATTTCCAACTTCTTAATCTAAAGAGCAAACTTTGCCTCTCTGCCCTCTGGAAGCAGGTGTTGCAATAGTGTCAGCTTGTTCCAAGAGACCGTTTGTGGTCAGCCGATGTGGTTAGCTAGTTACTGTTAAGAAAAGTATGCAATAGGTTTTGCTATATTTAATGTATATGGGGGAATGTTGACAGAGAGAGGGTCTTGCTAAATATGGAATGTTTGTGGTGGCCCAATTCCCCGAACTGTTTACGCAGGAGGAATGGGTTGCCCAACCTAAAACTGTCGATAGGAGAAAAGGGGAACGTCTTCTTCGTAAACAGCCCTATTATAAAAGCCCCAGGACCAGAGGGTCTGGGGCAGACAGAACTTGGACTGCCATGTTATGTACATGACTTCTCTGCCTGTCTCCTATTGCGCAATAGAGAATAAAGGCTTGTGCTTGCTTGCTAGACTCTTGGACTCCTGTTTTGGATTCATAGCAAACTGGTAAGAACCTTGGGAAACTATGTTTTCCGCTACCCAACAATACAGTAAACTGGGCAGGAAATACTGTCATAACGCATATYGTGGTAGAACGTATGCCAGTGTAAAATGCGGAACTTCAAGTAGGGACAAGAAAGTTACTGGTGAGCTGCTTAGTCAAAAGCGCACCAGAACATCCAGGTTTTTAGTTGACTACGAAAGGAGGACAMGGTGGGAGCCCGTCTGATCTTCCTAGGGAGGGAGTTCCAGAGCCAGGGGGCCACCACCGAGAAGGCTCTCTCCCTCGTCCCCATCAACTGTGCATGTGATGGCGGGGGAGAGACAGCAGTGCCTCCCCAGAAGATCTCAAGGTACGCGCTGGTTCATAGGGGAAGAAGCGATCGTGAAGATAAGCAGGTCCCGAACCGTTGAGGGCTTCATAGGTGATGACCTGCACCTTGAATTGGGAATGGAAACTTATTGGAAGCTAGTAGAGCGGTTTAAACAGGAGGGTTGACCGCTCTCTGTAATCAGCTCCCATGAGTAGTCTGGCTACAGATCTCTGGACCAACTGTAGTTTCCGGACCGTCTTCAAGGGCAACCCTACGTAGAGCGCATTGCAGTAATCGAACCAAGAGGTGACTAGGGCATGGACCACCATGGCCAGATCAGATTTCACGAGGTACGGGAGCAAGTGGCGCACAAGTTTTAACTGTGCAAAGGCCCTCCCAGCCTCTGCTGACACCTGAGCATCAAGTGTCAAAGTTACAAATACCGAAAAAGGAAATATAAGGATTACTGATCATGCTCTAGTCCAGGGGTCCTCAAACTTTTTTAACAGAAGGCCAGGTCACAGTCCCTCAAAGTGTTGGAGGGCCGGATTATAACTTGAAAAAACAAATACAAAACATGAATGAATTCCTATGCACACTGCACATATCTTATTTATAGTGCAAAAACACTTAAAACACTACAATAATTAAAATGAAGAACAAATTTAAACATATTAATTTATTCGTATTTTAATGGGAAGTGTGGGCCTGCTTTGGTTGATGAGATAGGGTTGTTGTTGTTGTTTGCTTTCAAGTCATTACAGACTTAGTTTGACCCTAAGCGAGGTCCGGGTAAACGACCTTGGAGGGTCGCATTAGTTTGAGGACCCCTGCTCTAGTCAGTATAGAAATTTAAATTAAGCAAGGTTACAGTCAGATAAAAAGATGGAGATATAATCCTAGTATACTAAAACAGGAGGTAACTGTAAATGAATTAGCAAAACAGTGGGAAGAAATCTGGGACTTAAACAATAAAGAAATATCAAGAGCCTTATTATGATGAAAGCAATGATGAGAGGGCTGATAATAAAAGAAGCATCAAAGGTAAGAAAGAAACAGGAAGAAAGGAATATTTTAAAAGAAAAAGGGATAGGAAAATTGCAAAATCAGTAGAATATAAAAAGAACCACGTTTATAGCCAATGAATTAAGGGCAAGAAAAGAAGAAATAAACAAAATGGAGATGGATCAGCTGGAAAAAAAATGATATATCTAAGGAGAGAATTATTTGAATATAGTAATAGAAATTCAAGAATGTTGGCAAGGTCAGAATGTTGGCAAGGAAAGATATGTAGATTAATGAAAAAAAGTTTAAAATATTTGAGGAATTCTATTCAGAAATACATCAAATACGAGAACACTCAATTGATAAAATGAATATGTGGAAGGAAATTGGAATATAAAATTAAGGGAGGAGGATAGGAAATTGTTAGAAGCCCCAATAAGCAAGAAAACAATAGAGAAAGTAATATCGAAATTGAAGAATGGTAAAGCCCCAGGGTGCGATGGATTTGGACCAGAATATTATAAATTATTTGGGGAAAAACCAATTCCAAAATTAATAGAGTTATATAATGCAATATTAAATGGAGAAAAATTCCAGAATGACCAGCCACTGCCAGAAGGGACAGAGAGTTTCATCTATGCTGATGATCATGCCATTACTGCTCAAGCAGGGAGCTTTGAGATGGTTGAACAGAAGCTCTCCGAAGCTCTAGGTGTTCTTACTGCCTATTACAGGGAAAACCAACTGATCCCTAATCCATCTAAAACACAGACATGTGCCTTTCACCTTAAGAACAGACAAGCATCCTGAGCTCTGAGGATTACCTGGAAAGGAATCCCACTGGAGCATTGCAGCGCACCCAAATACCTGGGAGTCGCTCTGGACTGTCCTCTGACCTACAAGAAGCACTGTCAAGCAAAAAGTGGGCGCTAGAAACAATATCATACGAAAGCTGACAGGCACAATCTGGGGATCACAACCAGACACAGTGAAGACATCTGGAACACATCTCACCACACTAAAACAATGGATGTGGCTCTTAATGAGACATGCCGCATTATCACAGGGTGTCTGTGCCCTACACCACTG